GCATCTTTCATTCCACATTTATCTGTAGTCGCCCCCTCTCCTTTTTGATCGCCCCCCCCTTCTCCAACCAGCAGTTTGTCAATTTAAGCTCTTTTTTCTGCACTTTTAAACCTGCAGTAAACTGCACCCTGCCTAATTAACACTCACCACCTGTCATCTCACTTTGTTTCCAACTAATCCCCCTTGCCAGCGTGGCACTATTCAGCCCATCACAAAAATAACATGGCAACCGATAATAATTCAAATAATTGTCCCTCTTAGTTTGTCTCTGGGAATCAGAGCGGGCTGATATGAATATGAGACGTGAGGAGAGCGTCTTCTTGTATGTGAGGTAGACCCCAAATGCGGCGCGGGGGGGGGCACAATTAGGGCCTCCTCAGCGGGTGGGGAGGGCGCCTGCATTAGCAAAACGCTAAGCATTAAAGCGACGCACCCATGCTGTTTCCTCACAGCTCGCTCTAATGACTTTACCTGCGCAAACAAAAGGCAGAGGACAGATCCCCGTCGCTTCCTATTTTCAGCCGACGTGTGATTGTATCAGGGAGCCTGTGCTGCCTCTTTGAGGCTCCAAATGTGCAGAATGAGCTGGGAATCTCTCCACGCCACTCACCTTTTCACTCCCCCCCCCCCCCCGCTCGCCCCCTCTTTTCCTCCCCTAAGCCCCCCCCCCAGTCCATCACAGGTGGAAATGATGTACGACTTGTGTTGCCAGCTGCTCTCCCGTGTGAGCAGAAAGCTGATAATGACTGAGTCTACCCTACTTTGCCTGCATCACTCCCTCCTTTTGTCACTTTCCTCCCTGAGCGCTGCCTGTGAGAGAGAAAGAGAGAGAGCTGGTGTAGGCGTGCGTCGCCACCGTTTTCACCGCACAATAGCACAGATCAATAGAATCCGCAGTCTCTGACTGGTAACTAACTTTCCTCATTGTCCGTCTAATTAGCAACATCCCGGCTTATGTTTCGAGTTGCCTTGGTCCCGGCTTTCTGGTTCTGCGTCAGGCAGTCCCAGATGGTAGGAATGATATTCACGCCACATAAAGTGGCATTTAGTGTTGAGTCATTGGCAAATGCTGCCCCCCTGCAGTTGGCAGACCCCCCCCCCCTCCCCTCCCGTGTAGGGCCACGTGGGCATTGGCACACTCGTTGTGTGACGCATGCTTTGTCATATTTTATCATGTCATATGAAGTATTTTGGGCCCAATCATTTTCTTTCGAACACAAAAAGTAAATAAAAGTGTGGTAAAGTGCACGCCCAGATTCTGGAACCTGGCTGCTGGGATTTTTGCTCCCATTCAGCCGCAAGAGCATCAGGCAGGTGGGACACTGATGTTCTGATTCATCCCAAAGGTGTTGTATGGGGATGACGTCAGAGCTCAGGTTCTCCCACACCGAACCCAGACACCTGTTCCTCTATGGAGCTGGTTGTGTGCACGGGGCCATTGAGTGCTGCAGAAATCAGTCCTCAAAGATGTGTTTTTGCACTTCCGTTTCCCTCGTCTAAAAGTCAATGTTTTTCATGTTTGAAATAAGGTGTGTGGTGAACACAAGCTTAAGAGATTTTGACATTTTGTTCGAAGATATAAAACATGTCAGTATGTATTTTGAATTTTGAAGCTTGTACGTATATGTTTTTGAAAGAGGCGGTTTCTATCAAGTGGCTAAATGAGACTAAACCTTTAAACCACCTTTAGCTTCTCGCGGCGACGTGAAGTCACATGACCGCGGTGTAGTTCCTTCCGTTTGTTTCCCACAGAGCTTATTTTCTGCAACATTCCAAAATGTCATGGACAAATCCCATCGGCTTTTTGTCAAGGGGAACCAATGCGATGCTAACTTCCTGGTTGGCCTACAGAAATACATCATCCCTGCAACACAAACTGTTGGAACCAGACTATCTAGAATATCATTGTATAATGCAGCATTAAGATTTCCATTTCAAACATGGGCAAACAGCCCAAAGTATGTCCACATACTTTTATATACAGTGTCACTTTACTAGAATGTTGGGAAATTTACAGTTTTGGTGACTGGGAGACAAGAAAAAAAACAATGAAGTGTACGAAAGTATTCAAAACAATGCCATAACATCGACATCAGGCGTGTTGAACATCGAGTAATGCGTTTCCTTTTTTATGGAAAGCAGCACTGCGGGAGTTCATTTGGGATCTACTTTTAAGTAACCTCAAAGCACTTGCTCCTCAATTTTCCTTTTCAAAAAAGTAGCTTTGAGTCTATAAGTTGTGGTAAGTGCACTGTAACTAGCCATTACATCCTGTACATTATACCTCAAGCAGAGGGAAACACTCAAGAGCACCTAGTGTAACACCTTGAGTAAATTGCAGAAGTGGGAGAGGAGGAGGAAGCAGTTGTTCACCAGGAGGTAAATGAACTAAAGTGGTAAAAAAAAAAAGAAAATAGATCGAAGAAGTGGGTAAAGAGCAGCCTGGAGAGCAGCATATGCTAATGGGGCCAATTCATGGCCCTTTACAGCAGCACGGCCAGCGGTGAGCGTAATGCTGCTGTCGCTCTCGCTGCCTGTAATGGGTGCAGAGGAAATGCTGCGGCGCCCACTAGCAGATCACTACTTAAGCATATTTAACTATGGAAAAACACAAATCACATTCCAGTGTCAGTGGGAAATTTTGTGTCATGTGCGCTGTTATGCAATCTCAAAAAAAAACATTGCAGCCAGCAGCCAGAGCGAGAAACACACTAATGAGCGAACAATACTTTTGATTTGGGTTGTGTTTTTTTGGAAGGAGAGTATCTCCCCCCGACAGCAATTATTAGAAGCCGATCAGGTAAACACAGAGCTGGGAAAACAGCATTGTTATAAAGGGCAGCTTATTGAAGAATGGAGAAGCTATTAGATTCACTGCGGTTTCATCTTGATCAAGAGGAATTTGTTCTAATCCAATCAAATCTTGAAGACTTTTATTGCCACAGCAACAACATGCTGATTCTCAATTTGATAAGTGTTCGTCAGCTGAGGAAACGACAGGCTCGATGATGTTTTCCCTCTGTTGTGTCTATTGATCTTTATCCTGTAGTGTTCCATCTGTGGCATGTAATACAAAAAAATACAAAAAAACACAACAACTCCTGATCCTGTTCAGTATTTAGGACTTATCGCACAGATGGACGTCCTTATTGCGATGGGGGACACTTTGTCTCGGCAGTGTTGTTCAGTTTCTGCATGAAAAACAGAGTCCGTGTTCTGTTCAGACAGCAGAGTCAATAAGTGGAGGTGTTAAAAAAAACACGAGTCAAACACAACCCGTTACGTTGGCAGCTGTGTGGAGGCCTATCTGGAACAGGTTGGGGGTTTCCTGTTCAACCGAGACAATGATCGTCCTCTGACCTTCACCAAGTAGGGCTGCCACAGAGAGCGTCGAGGACCCGTCCACTGTATTGATTTCTGAGGATTTCTAAAGAGCAACCTAAGTTTTTCTGAAATCCTTGCTGCTCTGGTTTTAATTGCTTAAAAGCTTGGGTAGAAGAACTAATGCTAGATGTTAAAAATCACCCAACCGGAACACCAAAGCCCAGCGCTAGCTCCAAAAAGTTGCTACGTCTAGTGAGAAAGTTGCCTCATCTTCAGAAAGAGCATTGTCAGATCATTTGATTTATTGATTGGTGTTGGGATTTTAAAAGAATTTCAAAAAATATAACAAAACATGTTTAAAAAATGACCCGCCGTAGCTTTAACCAAAACATCTGGGTACATGTGAGGGATCTGAAATCTGTGATGGTCATGCGTGTTTTTGAAGGCTCTGACAAATAACCATTTTTGTCGTTCAGGTTGGAGGACTTGTTGGAGCGTGAAACCCCTGTTTGTGTGCTTTAAAAAAAAATAAAAAATATGAATCGGGACTTTAAAAAATGACAACAATCAAACACCCTGGCTGATAGCTTTGCCATCCTTGATGTCCCCATCCTCAAAGTGAAATAACCTCCCGGTTTGATGCTGACACATTTACGGAACTCATCTGACTGCGCGTTGGCCCAGATAGCGTCTTGTCGACGACGCTGGCTATCTTTTTATTCTGTCAACCCCGGTGTGTTTGTGCGATGTTGTTCTCGCTCACACTTACAGGTCTATCTGATTCCCTCAGCTTTAGTGGAGCAGATAACGGCTCTGTTTGAATGAGCCTGTCTGTTCTGTGCGTACGAGCCAAATAGTGATATCTTACCTTTTCCCTCACTCTATTTCCTACCACACTTATTCTTGTCAGTGCAGCTGGTGGCCGTTGTGTGTGTGTGTGTGTGTGTGTGTGTGTGTGTGTGTGTGTGTGTGTGTTAGGGTGTAATAAAGTGGTAGGCGGATATATGAATTTATGTGTGCATGTGTGCTTTTTATGCAGTAATGTGAGTTCACGGATGCACTCCGTATTTTCATCAGATAGGCGCATCGGCTGATCGGTAAGAGGAATGCACTGCGCGTGTCTAAACTGCTAAGCCAGCAGAAGGACTCTAATAATGTGCTGCTTTAATGGACCCAGCTGTAAAAGTAAAACCAGCATGTTTAAAAATGATGGCAGCGCACATGAAAGCCTGTTATCTTGATTCATTCTTGTTTGCAGGAGGAAGGAGCGGACGGTGTTTGCGATGAATAGTTAGCTCATGTCATCAACTTAAAATGTTTGGACGGAGACAAAGCAGCTTTTCTTACCTGTAATCTTAGTTTTTTTTATCTCCTTTGTTCCTAGCTTACCCTAGAACCCTAGCTTCTTATAATTTAGTTATTTTTTTACAACCATATTTTAGTTGGCTTTTAATAAAGCCTCAATGCCAAACACATATTCTGCCTTCCTCTTCTTTTATCTCTCTCCCTCCTTCATCCTAAATTAAATGCCGCCTTATCTCAATGGAATATTGCAAACATTGGCTCAGCGCTAGGTAGGGAACAGCAATTTAAAAAATGGTTCAAGAGGCAACATTAACTGTTTAATGTTCAAATGAGGTGCATCAGCGCTCATGCCTGCCATGTGTCCCTCCCAGGTATGTGGTCCTTCTCCGTGTCAGAGCTGGCCATCCCGGGGGCCGAGATAGGGCGCATCTCGGCGGCCGACGCCGACCTCGGGGAGAACGCCAAGCTGGAGTACACCATCCTGGAGGGGGAGACCGGGGAGACGTTCAACATCACCGGAGTGAACCAAGAGGCCGTCATCACGCTCAACAAGGTGAGATGACCGAGGCGGACGGGGGGAGGGAGGGAGGGAGGGAGGAAGGGGTGAAACAGCACGGGTAGAAAGGTGTTGGTTTGTTCAGGTGAAAGGAAGAGGGCCAGGAGAAGCAGAACAGATCGAGTTTTGTTTCGCCTGTGAGTCATAGCACAGCTAACAACATGTTGCCTAAGCCCATTAACCTGGAATTACCCCGGATGCACACAAAGACACTGTGTAAGCCCGAAACCATTCCACAGGATTCATCTCTCCGCCGCCTTTTTTTCAGCTGGGGGATTTTTTAAACAGGTGATCTATATTCATCTCACCTTTTTCTCCTTATTTGACTCCCGTCGGATGAAAGTGGTTTGATGGGTTTCTGACAAATGAATTTTCTGCTCGATTCACTGTGAACCAGTCTCCTCCTTTCAACATTTCCATCTGTTTACAGCAAAACACAGTGAAACATCCGTACTCGGTGGAAGTGTTTGCCGCGGCGGAGTTGGCCGTAATTTGCAGCGAGAATCTTTTGACCGGCGTCGAGGTGTTTTGACTGCCGCCGTTCAGCACAGGTTTTTTTTTTTTTTTCCCGGAGCATTTTGTATGTACAGAAGGATCAATGAGGCGCTGCCTCTTCATCCTCAGTTCAGCTGGCTAACAGTTCCCTTTTGTGTCATTTAGGTGATTTCAATTTAAAAACATTCCCTGTCTTCTCCAATAATCCCATTCTTTTGAGGATGTAGGTGCATGGTGGGGGGGCTTGGAAGAGCCGCCACCCACTCATTACCAGTACGGCTTATAACAATACATACGCACCTGTCTCGTCTCAGGGGGAAAGGATGGGGGGGGGGCCTCCGCGCTCACATGTAACGTAGACTTAATGGGGAGAGTGGGCGCTGTGTGGGAGGCTCATCTGAGATATGATGCTTTCATTTCAAATGAGCCCTACAGACACTTCAATGTAAATACACACGTCTCCATCAACGCTGTCTGCTTCCTCTCTGCTCTGTGGGATGTTAGTTACGTATCCTGTGCGATATGAGTCACATGCGTTCGAATGCAAGAGTTCATGGAGAGTGTGTTCATGCAAGCGTGAGGTGTCGGCGACTGGGCTTGGGGCAAGAGGAAGGTCATTTTTTCTTTTTATGAATATTCAAATCTTGTTTGTTGCAAAACTGCTGGGCACATGGTGTTTTGTCCACTAAAAGGGCCTGAACTCATTGTGCACTAGAGGCTTGAAGTTACCACCATGGTGCTGCATGTCGGACTGTGATCGCTCAGATTTAAGCTGACCTCATTCTGCACTGTGAAGGTCAAACATCTAAGTGAAGAAACTAGAAGCAAAAACACATTTCTGAGTGGAGAGGGAGTTAAGAACTCAACAGCCAATCGACCAATCGATCGTTTCAGCACCAAGTATTGTCCATCTGTTGAACAGTTGGAGTCAGTCATCCTGTCTTACAGACTTCCTATAGAACACTGTATCTCACCGCTGGTACAGTGAAAACTATATCTTCAAAATTTGACAGTTTTAAATTTGTCAGATAACTTGAAGAGAAAGAAATTCTCCAAATTCCTATTTAAAAAAAAAAAAAAGCATGATGTCTAGCTTTTGAGGATCTTTTGGTCTACCTCACTTTGTCAGGTAGGTCCTATTTAAGTGATTTCTTGATTGAGAACAGGTGTGGCAGTAATCAGGCCTGGGTGTGGCTAGAGAAATTGAACTCAGGTTTCCAAAGATGTGATAAACCACAGTTAATTTATGTTTTAACAGGGGGGGGTCAATCACTTTTTCACACAGGGCCATGTAGGTTTGGATTTTTTTTCCCCTTAATAATAAAAACCTTCATTTAAAAACTGCATTTTGTGTTTACTTGTGTTATCTTTGTCTAATATTTAAATTTGTTTGATGATCTGAAACATTTAAGTGTGACAAACATGCCAAAAAATAAGAAATCAGGAATTGGGCAAACACTTTTTCACACAACTGTATATAAACTGGCAGGAATATTACATGTAAATAAATAACACACCTCCCACCCGCAGAATTCCTCCCACTGGATTCAGCCGCAGCGATCTCAAAGACAGAACCAAAACGTACAATTAGTATTTCAACGTGGCCTCCTCCATGCTGTTTGGTGTTGCTTTATTCCCTCTTCAAAGGCACCGAGAGAGGCAGAGAAATAGATTAGACCAGCATTGCTGCTATGGGTGAAATATTAAATGGAACTCAACACTCACGGGTTACATGCAGATTCATTTTTGAGTGCCTCGCAAGCTAAGTGGAACATGTATGGAGTATTTACAGATGCTGCAAGGCAGCGTGTCAGAATTCATCCGTAGAGCCAGCGGCATTGGGATGTTTTTATTTTTGTGTAAAAAGGTGGTCCAGTAAACTCCTCACACGATCCACCAACAACTAATGAAAAACACGGAAGATAGGCTACAGCTAATAGAATTAAAAACAAACAAAGCGTTAAATTGGCGCTAAGCTCCCCCTGAGTTTCCACCAAAAAAACAATACAGCCACGTTTTCAATTTTTTTGTGCGTGCATATGGGGTGTGTTGAAACTGAACATGCCCCGGCGTCCATTTTACCGGAGTCAGAAGGCTTTCAAAGTGTGAAGATTTCTTTTTTTCCAGAGATGATATGTGTGGGGCCCCCTGAGAACCAAAGGATTTCTGAGCGGAACAATTTGTGTTGCCACAGAGTCGGCCTTGACCTTGCTGGCCATCTCTGCTGCTGCGGGCTGAATCTCTTTAACCGTTGATCTAACGATGTGCACACACACACACACACACATACAAAAGCAGACACACAGAGCGCAGACGCACACGTACACAGGCAGCAATAAACCTCAGAGAGAGAGAGAGAGAGAGAGAGATACAGACGCACACATCAATACAGCACACTTGACCTTGCGGCTCCGTGTTTAAACTGTGGGGAATGGAGGCAAAAGAGCTGCAAAGAGGCGCGATTGCACATTTTGAAGAAGAAACAGGGCGCTGCGGTGCCAGTCCTCACCTCAGAATGACGTGTCGGATTTGAGGCGGGTGGGAGACTGAGTCGAGGAGGCGGAGGGTGTTGGGTGGGGGGGTTTAACAGCAGATTAGGAAGAAATCGAGTCAACAGAGGGAGCTGGAGGAAGGCGTTAGGAGTTAGTTAAAAAGAGGCTGAGAGAGAATATGCGATTGCAAAATGGAGGAGAGGGCAGACAGAGGGAGGAGAACGTGCCGATGAGCAGAGGGAGGGAGAGATAGAGAGAGGCGAGGGTGAGGGCGGGGACAGGCGAGGGAGAGACGCGCGGGTCGTTAGCAGCCTGCAAGTCGGGGTGCCGACTGAAGCAGCCAGCTGCTTATCACTGCTTATTTACTGTCAGTCCCACAGAGACCCCCAGCCATAAAAAAGATTTCCCTCCTTCTCCCATTCTCCCTCTATCTCCTGACCCCCCCCCCTCCTCCTCCTCGGTCCACACCCTCACCCCTTCTCAACGTTAGCCGCTGCCTCTCTGCATTTCATTACTCTCTCTCTCTCTCTCTCTCTCTCTCTCTCTCTCTCTCTCTCTCTCTCTCTCTCTCAGTCTGATCTCCCCACACATGTCCAAATATGCAGGGCAGGGAGACACACAAGCTAAAACGCAAGTAGATGGAAACACACACACACACACACACACACACACACACACACACAGAGCCTCCCCAACCCTGTCCCCCGTCCGCCTCGCCTCGTCCTCGCTCTGGTTGGAGTCTGGAGGTCAGACGGTGTGTGTTTTGTTTGTCTGTGGCTCTGACTCAGACCCAGGTCTGCCTCATTCAAATTCTCACACAGACACACACACACACACACACACACACACACGTGTGTGAAGACACACAGATATCCAGGAAGATACATGCACACATAAAGTGAGCCACATAGTAACATATTCATTTTCAATTGCTATGCTATTCTATGGTCTTTCATTCTATTC